AGGACATTAAGCAAAATTAAAAGTGCACTTTAAAGGTCTTAGTTGTTGTCCACCTCTAGAATATACAGAAATCTGGGGCCGACCCACACCTGTTGTGAATTCAGTAGTCCTGGAACTTACCTAGCAATCACAAAGAGCACACAACTGACTCCCAGGCAGGCTAAGAGCACATACATCCAAATATCTGGAGACAAGGGGTTGAGGAAGGAGAAGACGCCAGGGTTGGTACCATTGGGCTTCCGGTAGAGAATGCTGATGCCCAGGGTCATGAATGGCTTAGAGAAGTCGATGACTTTCTCCCGCACGTAGGTGATGGTTAGAGGAGCCACTGCCAGGTCAGCCTTCTGTAAAGCAAGTCCAAAATTGTCAGGTTAATTTAGCTTCTTTGTAAATGTTTGGACCATTGCTGGGAACCCCTGATTCCTTGTCTCAACTCCAAATGCTTCTCACACAAGAAGCTTCTGTGGTGATTGTCTTTCATACAAAACACTCCATTTACATAGTTATGTTTATGAAATACTATTATATTTATCAGCAAAGAAAAACTGGAAAGTATAAAACACACACAGATACAACATATTCATTATTTTGGAACTAAATGAAGGAAAAAATGCAGAGGGACTTCTTTAAAAAGGAATAGAGACAAAGAAGAAATAAGCAGCTTGGTCATAATATTAGTGGACAGCATGAGATTTTGTTCTGAACTGAAGACTTCAGAATTCTTAATTTAAGAATCACTGAGGTTCATTCTTCAGTATAAAGGATGGACTCATACATTTTTATCATCAATTGGCATCCAGACTTGCTTTTCTAAGTAGGCCAATTTCATTTCTAGATTGTTTTTTAATTTTCTTTTTTTTTTTTAAAGGAACAACTTTATTATTCACAAAAAAGAAACATTTCTTCTGACACCATCTTCTCTTTGTGCATTTTCTTGTCCTTCGTAGGCATTTTAAAGGATACATTAGGTGCATTTTACTTACGTGATCTATGAGTTCCTTAACCATCCCATTCCACTCCCCTTTGTCATTCTGGGCCCCATATTTGCCATCGGGGACTAGTTTAACATCGTAAATGAAACCCAGGATGTTTGATAATTCTTTCAATAGGTCCAGGCAATATCCTTCAAATCTGTCATTTCCATACAGGGGCTTATCAGATTTCCTGTACATCACATAGGGCTCTTCCTAAATGATGCAAACCAAATATGAAAAGCCTGTTATAATGAAAGTAAGAACTTACTCCATCCGCAGCATGAAGATATAAAATATTTGAAAATGATTTTGTGGAGTCAATCATTCACTTTCCTGTCTACATCTTCTGCAAATACCGAACACTTCACATGTTATTTTTTCTTTTCCTCCCACTTCTTTAGATGAGAGCTTTTCCTTCTCCCTCTGGAGTGGGAGTGTGGAGCTGTGAGTGAATGGTGCGAGGGAGACACAGCCACCTTTAGACTTTGAGTCAGAGAAGAGGGAAAGACTGAGAGGGCCACTGGGGCCCAGATGCCTGTCCAGCTGCTATGCCCACACCCCAAGCTTCCTTTGCACAAATCTTGTTCCTTCTTGGCCTTTGTCTAAGAGCCTCATCTGAAGAAAGAGAAATCTAAGTCACCAAATATCTTCTCTCATTCTTAAAACTTCCCATCTATTGACTATTCTCATTTCCTCACCTAAATCCCATCTCATATTCACTATTTGCTTACAATCTGTGGATTTTGGTTGATTTCCTTCAGGATAGCCTATTCCAAAGGCCATTTCTATGTCTTCTTTCATCATCAGTGCTTTCATTTTGAAATTACCCCAAATCTCACATCTATCAATTCTTTGCTAATGTGCTTACATGATAAATGCCTATCCTATAAAAATGAATATTCCTTTACTATATAACCTTACTCTCATCTGACTAAATGAAAGTTCATTTTGTTTTATAAAATTATAAGTTACTCAACTGCTGATATATTCTTTAAATGTATGTTTATCCTCAAATAAATGGATAGTTGGGTCATGCGAATACAGTAGAAAACTCTGTATTTCCATAAAATGGTTTCATAGAAAGCAATGATCAGAAAAACAAAAGTGTTTTTACTTTACATGAACAATTCTAATAAGTTAGTGATTTGAAAATTGATTAGACATTATGCACCTTCAAGAGAAAGTTAAAGAGAGGTCTCTATCCCGGCCCAAATCCCCTTGGGAAAGGAAAAGGAGGAGTTTAACAACTGACAGGTGTCCAGTGGCTGGAGGGGGTGTGATCAATGTTCCAACATGAGGCCAGACTTTTGACAAGCAGCTAAGCAGCACCTCTATTTACAGAGGGGTCAGCAGAGCATAGGGAGCCAAGGAGATGGGGGTGAGATTTAGGGGCAAACTAAATTTGTATAGGCAAACAGGAAATAGCTTTCATTTTTGCTCAGGACTGAGGTAGGAGTTCTCTTGGAGCCCAGAGCAGCTGGGCCCCAGGAGAGATGTCATTAATAGGTCAGGGGCTATTGTGGAAGGCCAGAGGCTCTGACAAAACCACTGGTTTTGGGAGGGGATGGGGGAAGAACTTCTCTTAACTCTTCTCCTACTTCTCTTGTCCCTTGCCAGAGATCCCTCATGGTTGAAACCCAGTGGTAGCTGGAGAGCAAGGAACAACAGCTGGATGGGAACAGAGAGTGGGCCAGGGCTGGGTTGAGCATGGATTGAAGGTGGGGAATCTTCTGGACAATGCTGCTCGGAATTCAACTCTATTCTAAGTATTGGCTTTTAGTGTCCCATTTAAAAATAAGCATGTGCAGACCGAAC